ATGTGCATTTCTTCATGCCTCGCTTACACGTCATCTGTTGACCATCACGCGGTTTCTTCCAACCTGGAGCCATAACTGCGAATAAGGCGCGGTGCGGCAGACGATGGCTGGGCATGCGCAATACGTATCCTAAACAGCGAAGCCGACTAATCTGAATTCGATGGGACAACGAATTCTCCATCGAATCATTACCAAATACGCGACGCCTCACCTCAGAGTTGCTTACAAGCTTGCTCCATCCAACCCGAGCCAAACTACGTAAACATCTGCAGTTGAATACTTCGAGACGACGAATATCTTCCACGCGCACATTTAGGATCTCACAACCATAGAGCAGAACTGGCCGCACGCTGGCGCAGTATACACGACCTTTCAGTCTAAACGAAACATCGCGTCTACACCAAAGGTGTTTCAGTCCTGCGTAAGCTGCTCGAGCCTTGGAAATGCGGGCGGTTACTTCATTGACTATGCTACCGTCATTTGAAATGCAGCTACCTAAGTAGGTGAAACATTTAACAACAGCTAATTCCTGACCATCAAGCATCAGCGCTGGGATAGACGACACCCAGTCTTGCAGCATCGATTTGCACTTTGAAGGTGCAAAGCGCATGCCGAAAGGAGTTAGAGAGCTTGAATGTCTGTGAAGAGCGCTTTGCGCATCCTACATAGATTCGAACAGGCATACGAGGTCATCAGCGTACTCTAAATCGCACAGCTTTTCTCTAGCCGTCTATTCAATACCTAAGTTTGCGAGACTACTAAGTTCGTTCTTCAGTAGTTCGTATACAACGAAATTGAGCAGGAATGGCGAAATGGGGCACTTTTGACGAACACCGCTCTTGGTTTCGAACAATTAGCCCATAGATTGTCAGTGTGTGAACACCACTGTCTACACAGCATTGCATGAATCTGGTGGGGCAGCCGGACGAGCAATGATGAGGTGAGGCACAGAGTTTAAGGCAGTCGCGGTCGTTCAATGGAGCAAGTGGTCGACCTCCATAGATTACGTTGGTTGGGGTATGTGTGACGCATGTCACCAAATAGGTTGCCACGGCGAGCGATGTTCGCCGAGGCAAGTGGTGGGTGGAATAAAGCCAAGGGTGATCAAAATAAGATCTCACCTGGGGGTACGAAAGCCCCAACCAGGAGTTTGGGTGACATAGGTCCTGTTTCAGTTTCAGTGTGAACAACCATTAACCACGCATATTCGAGCGCCGGTTTTGGTTGCTGTCTTTTGGCTGGATGAAGAATAAGAGAAGAAAGGAAACTTGAAAGTGGAGTCGAAAAGGTCCTGTTAGGCTCCCTGGATGGGGATCTCGGGCTGATTGTAGCCGATGGTTAGAGACACTGAGTGATATGGCTGCGTGTCGTAAGCAGTGGTGTTCATGCATCTTCTCAATTTTTTTGCACCAATAGTCCACTGAAATTCTCCATTTTCTCTTGCATTCTAATTTCAATCTTCCCGTCTTTCTCCTACTGTTCATCCAAACTAGCAGCCAAAAGACAGCAACCAAAACCGACACAGGGAAATGCATGATTAATGGTTGCATAAACTGAAACTAGTGACTTCGTACTTGAATGACGATTGAGCGACAGATCACATTCATTAGATTTTGGTACGTGATCGCTGGGCCTCTTCAGTGGAAGGCAGCCGTTCCTATCGCGGCGCACAAAATGGAAAAAGTAACGACACTGACCATGTCCTTGTACGCAAGGGTTTCAAGGTTCACCTGCCTGCTCGCAGGAGGACTCATCCACTAGGCACATTAACCATTGTTTTCTTGGCAGCACTTGATAAAAGGTAATCATTGCTGGGCGCAACCGCTTCCAACAGCCGCAACTCNTCCTCTATACGACGCAACTGTTGACACAGTGGTCTACGGTGAAAAGGTTCATCAGATAAGCTGAGCTGGGGGAGTTAGGTAAGAAGTCGTCACAAAAGTAACTGGATCGTCAAACGTACAGTGCAGTTGACCGCAAAGGCGAGAGGCGCGGATAATCAATTCTCCTGAATCGCGTAATCTACGTCATCAAGCTACACACTCCGCCAAGAGGGACCGTAGACACTACTGGGAGGCGATTGCAGCCAGCATGGAGGCTTCAACCGTCTCTGCGGATTATGGAAACATACTTCGTCTAATCTGTGTCGCAGCGAGAGAGACATCGTAGTCACTGTTGCGCAACACTACGGGCTAACTTATTCAGAGAAATATAGAGACAATGCACAGGTGGGTCGAATACTTCGACGGGCTGCTCAGTCGCCCATCACTGGAGCTTTACTGACGGGAGTCCAACCACTAAGCAGGAGGACGAGTAGGGTCCATGACCAAAGCCTCTAGTTCTAACAAGAACCTAACCTCAAGGCAGCGGTCACATACATAATGGGGTAGCTCGTATCACTACAGCTCCAGCACGACGGTTTGTTTTTCGATGGCCTGTATTTAAGCGGAGCAAATTCATCCTGGGGGAGCAGGATGTTTGTTTTGATGCGGCCCCAGTACTAGTCTAGTGGCATTCTTCGGGTTCGTGTACCCCTGCTTTATCTAAGTTTCTTTTATCAGGTTTTCTCAGTTTAGCTGAAATAGACGAAACAGAAGGGATGTCTTTGCCTCATCGGTGTGCGACCCTAGTTTCCTGAAACACCCCGGTTTCAAGTAAATATCATGGTATTTGGTGTCCGTAGTGGACGTCATTTGAAAAGGTTTCCATATTTTGGCCCCTCAGTTTACCTAGCTTTCAATGACGATACACACTACCACCTAACCTGGGAGAATGTTTACAGCCAACACGCATCCAGTGCTTCCTTGAAGTTGTGCACATTGGTACGGTTGTCCACTTCCGTGGGTCACCTGTTCCACATAGGTATGACCCTGTGGGAGAAGAAATTGGTCCGACATACAACCTAGCATGAATCTTTTAGAGCTGAAAGCTACGAGCCCTTGTGTTTTGAGCATAGGAAGCTGTAAACATGTCATCCGGGTGGAGTCCTCGTATCCTTCTGACTTTTTTAGAGGTTTCCATCAGGTATCCTCACACTCATATGTATATATACATACAGCTCTTTCAGAGCCAGTCCAATGAAGAATCAATGCTATGATTTGGTGTTTTGTAAGTGGGTCCGATGCTACTAACGCATGCCTGATGAGCGGCAAGAACCGCGAAACCGGTCCTGTGCTTCCAGGTAAATTTTGTCCAGTCATTCA